CCCACCCACCCGCACCTGACAGCAAGGACCCCGCCCCTTCAGGCATCACCACCTCCCACCCTGGGCTGAGGCTGGCCCACACACGGGCTGCTCAGGCTCACAGGGCAGCAGGCCGCGTCCCTCCAGGCAGGGCATCCCTTCTCTCCGGGCGAGGCCTTCAGAGCTGAGGAAGCCCCCTCACTCCTTGGGAATCTGAGCCCTTGAGGGGGCGGAGAGCTCACCAGCGCCCCACACTGGCCATGCTGAGCTTCGCTGAGGATGAGCGGGCACGAGGCTCAGCGGGCCTGGTGTCCTGTGCTCCTGGATCCCTGACGAACCTCCCACAGGAGCAGGGGCTGCCGAGGTTCGGGGCCTGGTGGTGGGTGCTCCGGCTCTGGCACCCTGTGCGTCCTGCTTCTGGGGTGCACCTTTAGGGTGTGCCAAGCAGCCCTCCCACAAGGAGTAGGGAGTAGCCAATCCTTGGGGCTGACAGCTGAGCTGCTTCCCGTTTCTGGGGCCCAGAATCTTGAGGGACCTGCGTTTTCAGTACCTTAGCCTTACCGTCCCCCTCATCTGAAGGGGTGGTTCCTCTTTTTTGGAATTTGCATGGAAATTGACCCCAAATGTGGATGACGACTGGGGACCCATGAGGGGGGGCACCTTGGGCTGTTAGACCAGCCTTGGGGTCGGCCCTCTGAGTTAGGGGACAGTGCTGCTGGTGGCACTCACCTTGGTCCAGGCCCTGCCAGCCCCACACAGGACTCAGCCTCCCAGGGACCAGGCCTGGGACCCAGCCTTGTAGTGTCTGCCCGTCTCTCTGTGTCCCAGTCCCCGCAGCCCGTGCTCACTGGGGCCCATGTGCGCCTCGGCCTGCCCCTCACCATGACTCTGCGTTCCCTCTCCCGGGCCTCTCCCTGTGGCACGGCCCCGACATGAGCCTGTGCTCGGCCATCTCTGTCTCCGAGTAGCTGCTGCTAGTGACACCCAAACACTGCCAAGGAGTTGACGCCGACACAGGGACCCTGTGTGGCCCTTTCTTTCAGACTGTCCTTGCTTGCCCCCTATGTGTCGGTTGACAAATGGAGCAACAAGAGGACCAGCCCCTCATCTTAGCCCACCAGTGTTCAGTGCCCGCTCTCTAATCGAGGGTGAAGCATCCTTGTCTCTCCTTCCTTGTGTTGATCACACACCTTTGCTGTTTGCTCTGCAGGGCAGGACCCGGGCCAAGCTTCATAGAGTGGCATTCAGCTGCCAAGGGCTTTGTGGGGGGGAATGCCCAGTTATCTGGCCCCAGGTCCCCCTTGCCTTGCCCCTGTGATGCGGTCAGCGGCGTCAGGGAGGAGAGCTTCTTTACTGTTCCCATTGAGAATCTCCAGCTGTGTTTCTCCTCCTCCGGTGTCAAGCATTTGTGAAGTTCATCCTGTAGCCCAAGTTCATTTGCGTCTGCTGTGGTTAAAGTTCCTCTCTATGCACACTTCCCACAGTGGGTGTGCGCATCGTGTGCCCGTGATGATGTTGGTACCGTTGATCCACCACCTTTAAACTGTCCATCCCAAGCTCAGGTCAGGCACCCCGTCAGGACAATGGTAGACATCGAGACATTGAGTGCCTGAGAAAGGAAACGGTGCACCCCCTTGTGGGCAATGAGGGAAAAGCATGCGTCCCTGGAGCCCCCGCTTTCTGGTAGAAGCAACTGGGGGCCCTCCTCTGCCCGGGTGGCATGGTGTGTCCACACCCTGGGCTCCTTTCCCCCCAGGGACATGCCCTTGCACAGCACCCATGGTTGTGTGCACACAGCCGTCTGCAGGGGCTCTGCAGCTGTTCTAAGCGGACCCACACTGCTGTTAGATCAGCAGTTCTCAACCTTCTTCATGCTGCGACCCGCTCATACAGTTCCTCATGTTGTGGTGACCCCCAACCATGGAATTATTTTTGTTGCTACTTCCTCACTGTAATTTTGCTACTGTTTGGAATCATTATGTAAATATCTGACATGCAGGATGTATTTTCATTTTTACAAATTGAACATAATTAAAGCATGGTGGTTAACCACAAAACAATTTGTAGTTATATATTATGAAATACTTATGTGTTTTCTGATGGTCTTAGGCGACCCCTGTTCAAGGGTCCACAGGTCGAGAACCGCTGGCCGTGTTAGACTGACTGAGTGCAGCCAGACGGCCCGGCAGCACGGCTAGAGGTGGCATTGCCCAGGGCACCGTGGAGCCGGCTGCTGCTGATCATCCACCTAGAGCAATTCTTAAAAACTTTTTTTTTTAAATGGAAGTTTACCAACACAAGTACAGGGAGGTCCTGTGCCTGCCCTCAAGTTCCCGCCTGTGCATACTGGTGGGTGGACACACTGAACACCCCACAGATGGTAGCAGACAGTGCGCGCAGTTAGCTGGCTCAGGAAGGCTTTGTCTCGCGGGCCCTCCGTGTGGCAGAGCGAGTCGCCTGGCTGTGCCCCTCTGCACAGTGGGGACGTGAGTAAACCATTGTAGTCAGGCCCACTCCGTCCCTTCGTGGCCCTGTGGGATGGCGGCGGGCCTGTCTTTCACAGAATGGAAACTTAGGGAGGTTTGAACTCCACGGAAGCAGGCT